ATATAAATGCGCGCTCAGGTTCATGGCACAACGCGACGTTTGAATGTACTATTCGTTGTATTATAGATCGGCGAAACGTCAATCTGATTCTCTCTCGCGCGGTATATCTAATTATTCGGAATTTATTTCGAATACGTAATAATTCGTTTCGATCCGGTTGGAGGCAAAAGGGGCGCGAGACTTAAAATCCCTCCGCGATGACGTGTCCGAAGACGGTGATAATAACGGACATCGCTAATACAGTGATGTACGATCGGATGCTCGAGGAATTTGCCGAATTTTTCGGACACTCAGGCAATGGATTGTCCGAACTCGACGGAGGTAACATCAATTCCGGAGATGAGGGTATCAAAGGTCTGATGTAATACACCGTCGTCGTCGTAGTCTCCGTTCGATCCACTTGGTCAGCGTAATCAGTGGCGATTGGAACATTGTCGATGTTCGATGATTCGTCAACGATTATTTTACGCGAATCGTGTCCTGCGTGATATGGCGTTCCATAAAGATCCGGGGTGTTTGCAGACCACGACGGCGGTAAACTGACGGTAGGAGGGGGAGAGGGTTCGTGACGCGTCCAGTACGGATGTTGGTTCGAGTGATCGGTAGACCAAGAGTTGGCAGTAACTACATCAGAATCGCTGGGATGCATCACTTGGATGGATCCTTGGGGCAATTTTTCCCGATCGTTGGACGTTGCAGCGTATAGTGGATATATTAAGGTGTTTCCCACCTGGGATGATCTATCGGGTTCCACTGTTGTTTCGTGATCACCCGCTGCGGAGGATTCTGCAGCCAATCCTGCAGCTCGTAGTCTCTCAAAGACGTAATCTTTCGGATAATATGTCGTTTCGTATGTCGGAACGTGCTGCGGATACATCGAAACGTGTTCCGTTCGCGATAGTCCGTGGTTGGTGGTGGTTTCCATAAATCGGGGTGTGATATCTTCCGAGGGTCTCCAATCCATGGGCGGTGCTGGCAATGTTTCCGGTGTCGGGAGTGGATAAGGCATCATTACCTGACGCGAGAATGAATCCGGCGGAGAAGTTCTTGGCGGGAATTTCGGCTCCACTCGCGGTATTTCGTTTTGTTGCTTGGATGTTGTTGGTCGCACAGTGGTGGTTGGTCTTCTGTGACGATGACGATGCTCCGCATGTTGATCCGGATAGTACGGCCTATCTTTCGTCGGAGGTATATAGGGTACATCCGGTTGCTCCGGTCTCTTGTCAGAATTCAAGGTTCTACGATCTTCGTCTGTGTAGCTAGGCGGGACATCGATCGTGTCGCTGGCTAGTCTTCTCCACTCGGGATCTGGCTCGAAAGCGACACCTTGATTCTCAAGAAACTTACTTATGGCGTGCGGGCAAGCAAAGTCGGAATTCTCATTGAGAAATATGCGCTTCAATTCTTTCAAGTGCGGCATTTCATTGAGATTCAGGCAACGCAGTTGATTTCCTGATATTCGAAAGTCCACGAGATTCGGTAGATTCCTGTAGACATCGTCCTCGATATCGCGTATATTGTTGTAGTTGAGATCAAGGTACGTCAGGTAATGGAGACCCTTCAACCACGATGCCTTCACAGTGGTCAGATAATTGTTGTTTAAACTGAGTTGCTGAAGATTAACGAGTTGTCGGAAGGCGTCCGCGTCGATGTCGGTGATCTTGCAATGCGAGCAACTCAACACCCAGAGATTCCCGCCAAACCTCGCGAATGTGTTGGCGGTTATTCTGCCGAGCGGCATCCTGGTGATACGCAGTTTCTCAGTCCTTTCGGGTACGGTTGTCAAATCGCTGGGCTGGCCATCTTCGCAAGAGTACTCCAGCATGTCCTCGTTCGCGATCTCACTGCACAATGCAGCAACATCGCCGACAAGCGCGGCCAACAGGGCGATTAGCGCTAAAATTACGGCACTATTCTTCATTTCTCGAGCGTATACAGATATTACAAGAGAGAACGATATAATTTGTTCATTCAATTAACAATAAAACCAGATTGTCCGTCCTTTATCGCATTAATCTCGATGTTTGAATGGAATAAAATATGCGACGGTCATCGCGAGAGGGATTTCTCTTTCGTCCGTATTTTACGATTAACGACCGAACTAATTGTAACGCGGACTGAAGCAGTTCTCGCATTCGTAGGTTACTTATTTACTAGACCTTCCCCTCCTAGAGTCGTGCCACTATTTCTCCTACTACCTTCCACCTATCAAGCTCTGTACAGTCTATCGGTAAAAATAGAGAAGCTTGAAAATAGCGTGGCGGGGCGTTATAAGATCATTGAAGTGACATTTAGCAATAATGAAGAGAGTGCTAACGTCATTTAAAATTCGCGCTACGATTACACGCGGTCGATCGTGACTAGAGATCGATACGTAAGTACGTAGTGTATAAACGTGAGAAAAAATTGCGAGATAACATTTTGCGATAATTTGACGTTTTTTACATTTTAATATATGTTCCGAAAAATGTTTGCTATGATATTCTTGAAATGGTTTAATAAATTTATAAATATAATATATATGTTAAATAAATCAAATTGATTGATTGCCATATCTCTTTTATGTCCAATAGATAATATATCCCTATTTAATTAATAAATCAATAAACATTCATGCATTTATATTTACATTCTAATTGACCCTGTGCTTCCTGCCACAGTATTTAGTCTATATTTGTAAAACTTTATTATAATGTGAAAAATATTATGAATTAATTTAATAAAAAATAGAACATATAAAATATACATACATATATACACAAATATAGTTTTCTTATGATACGTAATTTTCCTAATATCTTTGAGCAAATTAGTTTAATATCTTACCTTTCTTTTCCTGCGCTGCTTTTTCTTGTCATTCTCGTTGGTGAAAGCTTTATATTCTGGGACTTCACCATTCTTTATCAGATCTTCAATTATAGTATGCAGTCTTGGTTCTTCATCGCAATTTGTAAATGGAACAGCTTCCAAAATATAATCCATATCTCCCTTGCCTAAAGTAAATATAATTACATAATTATATTAATATAATAATAAAATATAATATATATTAATATCAATGTATTATAATGTCTTACTGTCTATATATGCCCTTTTAAGATCCTTGATCTCTGTTTCCGATCCCTTGTAATTCTTCTCGTAATTATTGATATCTTCGACAGTAATTTCTTTAAATAAGGATCTCCAATAGTCGGCCCAATTGCGCATGATGGCCTCTTCGCTTTCCTCGTCGTATTGTCCGGATTCATCGTAATATTTGCGTTTTTCATTGTCGCTGAGAATGGAATGTATTCTACCAAGGACTTTGAACTTCTCCGTCGCTTCAGCCTTGATACTATCCTCGACCCGGTCAGGATGTACGAGTAACGACAGTTTGTGATAAGCCTTCTTCACTGATGCGATAAGAAATAACGAACATTGTTATTGTAGAGAGTGAGAAAAAAATGCAGATCTAGAGGTTAGGACGAACGTTCGCTTACCCTGTTTGTCGTTCGCGCTTTTTGGTATCTTCAATACGTCATAAAAATTACGAGCACCGAAATATCGCTCGCACAAGTCCAATAAGCTCGCCATATCGGCGGACCTGGGATGGGTTACTGGAAATTTTATTTGACAGACACAAATCAAAGATCAAAGGACGACGCGACAAATTTTTCGCGCGTTGCATCAAACTTATACAAACGATTTAAATCACTTCGTCGAGAGCGACATCTATGGATAATGTCGAAAAATAGTAGCGAAAAGAGAGGGTAATACATTTATGTACATCATTTATAGGGTCAATTTCACCAAGTCCGGTTAGATTAACCGACGGTTAAAATTAGCAGGGTTCCAACTGAAA